TATTAAATAGAACAAAATCAATATGAAAATAATAAACCAGTCATATTCTTGTGTAAAAATAATTTTTTTTTATTTAGACGATAACAAAGGTCAAATTTTTTTGGCTCTTCACGCCCTCCAGAATTCGATTAGAGTTAATGCGAACTATTCCAAACTAACACTGCCAGTCTACTCTTAGTAGGCATTTTCGTATATCAACCTTTTTACAATAGGCGTTTTAGACCGTAATTCGTGGCGCTCGTACGAGGAAAGATGCCATCACATCGAAAAGTGCCTAACGTAGGTTAATGTTACTACTCCTTATGCACGTATAATTATTAGAGAAAGACTTTCGTAGGAAAAAGTAAGCTTAAGAACCCACGAGCAAAACATACCTGTTCTAAAGCAACATGAAGGGCATCTCTGAAACTGAATATCTGTCCAATTATAGATGTTCGTTGTAGAATCGCATCAGCGGGTGAACTCGTATTTCCCTAAAACTTCATATAAATCGCAACTGTCCAAAACAAAACAATTTTCCCTCTTTTTGAACCGTACTTTCTTTTCTTTAAGTTCATGTGAAAGGGCCTGCATAACCTCCTTCATGCGCTCATTACAATCAAAGTTAGTTCTGGCTGTATGCAGCACATCTCTATTGGCAAGCACAATCTAAAAAGTGTCAAAATGAAAAGTTGTAGAGGAAATAAAGATTGCGTCCCATACCTTATTCAGTTCTCCTATTTGACTTGCAACGTGCCATGTTAACCTTTCGGCCAAATATTTGACTCCATACGGTCCTATGATCTGGGCTAAACAACGCAGCTCTAAAAATGGGTTTATTGAGCTTTCTTAGCGACAGGTTTTTTTTTGTAGATACAGTTATATTTAATGAATAGCCACCTTGAGGATCCGTATACTGTTCCGGTGCAAACTCCATTCCCTCTCCACTAGAGATCATCGCTTGTAGATGTTCACTCCAAAGCATATGACCAGCCGACGCTCGTCTTAGAACTACTTCTAGATACCTTAAAAAACTCATGTAAAAGAGGGCGCATGGTAGATACATTCAGTGAAAAGCCAACATAGTCGTTCTATATGATGAAAATAAGAAGATTGTTTGCACCATTTTGTGAATATGTAGGTCATGGTCTCTTTGTTGCGCGAATCGAGAGGCTGAGTTTGTTGTAA